CATTTAACGTTTAACTTATAATTGCAAAATGGCACGGCAGGAGTCACCGACGGCACACCAAAAATAGCTCTGATCCAGCCCTTGAATTTAGCAGGAAATCTCCAGGGCTTTACAAACAAATTGGAAGCCAGCGCTTACAAATTTAATTTGAACGGTAAAAAGCTAGTAATACCTAGTTTCTGATCCTGAAAGAGCTTGAAAGGCCATGCTCCTAAAGAGAAGTAAAAAGAGGGTTGGCCTGTTTAGAAGAAAACAGGATATTTCGGAACGAAGGTTCTAGATTTTTATCAGAGGTCCAAGTCAAGCTTTATCTGCCGAATTCTAAGTCGAGGTTAAGTTTATCAGTGCTAATGCTATGCACGCAATTTACCAACGGGACAAATAACATTGTAGCATTGTAAACTTACAGTGGTGGTGCATGAGATAATGATAACATTTGACCATCCTTGCAGATAAATATCTTAGCAATTGATTATGATTGCAATAGCGTTAGAACTTTAGGGAAACGCAAGTCTGGTTTGGAGGCCCTTGCTTAACCCTGTAATCTCCAGTCGATGATAATGGGGCTTACAGTTAACATTTCATAATTTTTTGACAGTCTTATTTTAAGCACCTGACAAAAACCACGCCCTTATCCGATTTCGATAGAAAATGTATCAAAAAGAGGGTAGGAGATGGTTCTTTTAGCCTCTCTGTTAAACAACACACAGGTTTATCATCGGATCCACTCTAGCAATCCCGTTTCCCTAAAAAAGGACTGGATGTCAGGTTTAAGTTTCAAGACACTTGGAGAAATTTGGAGAAACAGGCGTTTATCTGAAAAGAACGATTACTAGTCGTCAGAAAAAAAAAGTTCTTGTTGTCCATATTGGTGATTCAAACCTACTACCGACACATGCTATTTCTAATAAGTCGGTATCCGGCAAAACATGTTTAGTTTTAATATTTCTAACACTTCATGTTCTTTAAAGAACTGACCCAATCATTTCCCTTACTATATCTCGAGATGGCATATTTAACACTGAGTGGTCTTGTACCTGGATAGCTGTATCGTGTCCCATTGAAGATCGCTTGATTCTACTCTAGCAATCACTTGGGGACACTCACAGTACCCTGCAA